TTCCTAAAATAGAATTCTTCCGATACATCATAAATCCTTGGCAGCATAAAAAAACGAATTATGCATATAAATATTACACCAACCACACTGAACCAGGCACACGGTTGCTTAGCGCCATTCATTTGCACAACTTGGCTTTTCATAAAGTCATATGATTGAATATGCCAGTGCAGCATAGAAAGGCAATTTTCTAGAGGGACTGAGATGTAAATTTGTATTACATATGATAATGTTTCCTATTAGGATTGAGCTCTGTTCCGTTTTGCAAATCCAAAGGAAAATAGAACATGAATCACCCCATACAATGTAATTCCAGTTCTGCTTGACATCCCAATTTCATTTGACCTCCGTTACTAAGAGCCTTCTATTGTAGACCGCACTTCATAGTACCGTGTTGCGCTGCTCCATTAATGTTTTTCATATCGCCATGTTTCTTCTGCCTTTAAGCGTATAGTTAAACGGCTTCTGAATTAAATCTCAATCAAATTGTACGGTTGTATACAAATTGGCAAATCAAGCGACAGAGCACATAAAATCCCTGACGGTAGCAAAGCATGGATTATTGATACTTTCTGGCCAGATGACTCAATATCTACATCATAGAGTCCAAAAAGTCTGTCTGTGTATTTGTATTAATCATGTGGTAGAGGGAAAAGTCTGTTCCCCATTTAGAGAGAAAGCCGAAAAAGATGGAAGTGCTGTGCGCACTATAGCTCAAATCAATCATACTCTCACCTTGTGGTATATCTTTGTTGCCAGAAGCCAACTGTCAAGAGCTTTTTATTCCCTCTTTTTGTCCAATTTTGCGTTAGTTTTGACCTGACACTGACAGGCAGTCGACATTTCAATGAACATTTTTTTTTTCTGGTTTCCAGAGTTAGAAAGTCTTAAAGAAATGTAGTGAAATTACTAGCATTACCATGACAGTGACCTCTTGGATTTAATATTTAACCCTGTGCTTTTATTGATGTTTGATATCAATCATCAGCAGACAGTACATTTTCCATTCACAAGAGGTTAAAAGATTTTACAGTAAACGAACAGTGAGTGTTTTAAACTGGGTGGCTGCAGAAGCCAACACTTCCAGCTTTGAGAATCTTTTAGTGTTATGTGTTTGTTGTTTACTTCATCCACTGCATTGTACCCAGTACACACTTGAATCTTTTTCATGTTTCATATTTACATAGAAAACAGAATAAATTGGTTATTCATATCTTCGTATATATGATTATCAACTGCTCACTGAACCCTGTTGTCTGTGTAAAAATTGCCTTTGCAACATTCCACATGTCTCTGTTGTTACACACTGAGATGTCTCAGCAGTTAAAACTGAGCACTGTGGTTTGTGCTGGATTCATTCTCAGTAATGGAAGATGAGAGCAACTGCCAGTGCTCAGTGTTATCCTTGAAACTGTCAATGTCTAGCTTTTACTTTCGCTCCAACATGTTAGTTGTTATTATTATCATTTGTTGTTAACCCTACTACATGTTTTTAACATTAGAATGGGGGTTTATCCAGGCTCCTGAAACCAATACAACACATACAGTAAACAGGATGCTGCGATGTGCACTTAGAAATACTAAATATCCTGCTCATTTTGTTGCCAGTACAAATCATACCTCCCCACCAATGATATTTTTCGTAAACTGCATTTGTTTCTGCTGCCTTTTATAAAAATGATGTCTTGTTTTCTCTGTAACTCTCTCTTTCTCTTTCTCACACACACTTAACAAATGTGTTTAAGTTTAGTTTACATGATTATAAGCCACAAGGGGCAGTTCAAGATATTATGTTTTGCATTTATTACCTCAAATTAAGCCATTGATCTCCTGTGTGACTCTGTGGGTCATGAGACACATTCTGCATACTGAATATTTGTTTATTATGTGTATTACTAAGATATGAATTGAATGAGTTTGATGCAGACTGTTGATAAACAATACATTTAATTTTAAAATGCATCTGTTATTTCTTTCTGCAACCTTTTTTTGGTTGGTTGACTTATCGAACAGGTGCTCAGCGTTTGAATGGAATTTGTATTGCTTAGCAAAATCTTTTTGCCGGTTAATCCATCATTCATATTCACGATCTACACTGTACACACAGAGAAACAAATGAACCCCTCATTCGCAATCAATTACTGACAGCAAGACCACACTGAGTACTGAAACACTGCTTCAGCAGCCCTGTACTACACAGTTATGTTACTGAGACAATGTTACTGTTTGAAGGCTGTTCAGCCAATAATGGATTGTATCTCTAATATTTTTTGGTCAACAGTGTACATACAGAATCTAACAGCATCTAAAAGCCCTATAATTTGGGTGTTTTATTAGGTCTATATCCACTGGGCAAAAATTTGTTGTGCAATGTAGCATTTAGTCCCACTCAGCATGTACAGTATGTTCTCTTCTAGACCAGCCTTCGTGTCCCTGTTAGCTGTCCCTGTTCTCTGGCACTCTTACTGCCTCACTGAGGGCTCACCAGCCTCTGGGCTACAACTATGTGTTTCATGCTCTGATGGCACCATAACTTATCATATAGAAGAGATTATCCAGTGAGTCAAACTGCTCTCTGATCTCTTCCAAGTCGGTGTTTGTGTGTGCGCGGTAATATCTCCCACGAATTACATATACAACTATTCTACATCAGAGATTTATTTTCAATGTAAGAAGATATTGTGTGTCAGTAGGAAGGTCAGTGAGTTCTCTACCGGGCTGGACACAGACAAAAGCCTCTGTAGAAACAGGCAGAGTATCTGACCAACAAACTGAGGAAGGGCAAATCTGGAGACTGGAGCTGAGTGAGCAGTTGCAGCAACAGAAAGACACGCATAAGAATGAACAGAGAAAAAGTCTCATGATGATGAAAATGTAAGCGAGGATCAGGAGCTGGAGGAACCAACCCACCAAGCTCAAGGCTGAGAAAGAAGTCAGTCAGGCCCTCCAGAGAGTAACTTCCCAGCTGAAGGAAGAGTTAAAGAGCAGGAAAAGGAATCCCTCACTGTTTTACAGGCCTTCAGACTTGTGCCAGAGCCCTAAGTCTCTAAGGAGATGCTCCCAGAGAAATAAAAAGGAGACACTCGGTCCGGAAAAGAATCTGCCACTGCAGTTTGAGGAAGAATAACAAGGAAAGGCAGGGGATAAAGTACATATCTAAGTGAGACTCCTACACTTCAGCAGCTTAGCGCCTTCCACCATCAACGGCTGTATGCTGCATTGTGGCCTCACAGACAGACCACAGCCGACCAGCTGGACTCTGTGTTAGTGCTTAAATTTTCCTCTCACACTTCAAAGTCAGTTGAACTGGACACTTTAAACTCTAAATGCTGTCAGTGACAATGCAGAATGATGATGATACATGAGTATCTGAAATTCAAGTCAAGTTCTTTATGGACCTGGCTTTGTGCCCGGCGGGATTGTCATGTTAAAACAGGAAAGTGCCTTTCCCAAATTGAAGCCAAGGTTGGAAGGACACTGATAGCATACTCTTAACTGAAAATAACTGGCCAAAAGTAAACCTTAGACTAGGCCCCATACCAAAAGTAGATCTTCAGCCATATAGTGTATTTGTTTTACTGCAACTGCATTGTTTGTAGATTGAGAGAAGGAGATAAAGACAAGGAGAGAGCCTGAATCCTACATGTAACCCAAATAATAAATATTCTGAAATAAAAGCCAGTAGTCATAAAATATGCACATCTAAAAATCACTGACTCATTATAACGTGCAACAACTGAGCCTGCAACTTATCTTTAAACACTACAGCTGGGAGATCGACCCTCTGATAGATAAATGTGATTATGTGGCAATGTCATGCATCATGATGCATTTTATCATAACACTGAAATTATGTCTGAATAGCACTTAAATGTCTGGATTTTAATTAGATACTGCAACTGGAGGCTTAATTATACCTCTGGTGGCTGCTTTTGTGCGTAATGGCAACAAAAATACCAAAGCAATCCTCCTGTGTGTGTGTGCATATAAAATGACTATGTGTAATGTCCTTCACCAGGAAGATTTATTTTCATTTTCAGTGGCATATTTTAAAACCTCTCCCAGTAAATGCTATTCACTTTATTTGAAGAAATATTGCATTTATTTTAAGTTCAAAGACAGTCAGACAAAAGAAAGGCAAAGATCATTTGTACAAACATGTGTGCTGCCTTCAGCACAAGTTTTTGATGCATCATATAACCAAAAAGGATAGGGATACGTGAAAATACATAAATGAAGCAGTACTCTTGTAGTGCTGTAATCTGAGGTAAAATATATTTGTGGTCAAAGCAATCCAAATTTCTGGCATGCATGTTTCTTGCATTGCATGTTTGCTCTTGATAGTAAACTTAATCAAAAGTGACAAGAAAAAAAAGATTAATTAATAGCCATGGAATTGGATGATAGAATCCTCTCATGAATTAATAAATGCAATGCTATTTCAGGAGAAACTAATCAAGTACCATTTAATCCAATATTTACCAGGCCAACCAATTACCTTGTGGAACATTATTCAGAGAGAACATTTATAAACACATGGTTTCTAATTACAAAAAGTAGAACAGCCTGCCCTTATTTGTTAAAACTGCTGCCAAGTGCGCCAGAAATCTGAACTCTAATTGGAAATGACACAAAAAGCAGTGAGCGCGAGTGGCCCTGACAGTGAGCAGCTTGATGAATCAGCCTGGGGAGCCGGTATGACAGTCATCAGTCAGCTCAATGGGGGAGAGTTAACTGGCTGCTGCAGGGTTGAGTTCAATGTGGTGGAGAGGTTGTGTCATGTTTACTGGATGTGGAAAGTTCTCAGTTCTCCAAAATCTGTTGGATGTTAATTCTCAGGTTCCAATCCTAAAGGACTACTGGATGTGCCAAGTTTTGTTCCCAGCCAAGCTCTAATATAGCTCTTTCCAACCATGTGGGAATCAACACTAAAAGTCTAAAATGCAGTAATTGACTTTTTGATGTTTAATCACATAAATACAAATACAATAAAGGTCACAGACAGCATGTAAAATTTGCAACCGCTACAAAACCGAGCTAAAAGACAAAACACAATAACTGCTTTGTGTTGGTGGCAGACTGCAGTCTGTTTAGTAATATCTAGGATCTACAACATATTGCCACACTTACTGTGACAAACCTAGCAAAACAAAGATACAATTTTAATTCATGTGAACTATGATCTATACAATCAAAATCAAAAAAGTTTTTCTTAATGTCAAGAAAATACACACTGTAGATACCACATTATCTTCTTGCTTTTCAGGACGTTTCTCCAAAAGCAGAGTGCAATATTTTTAGGTATTATGTAGATTCTATTGCAATACTTTGTAGGTAAAATAAGCAGCCTTAAAAGGCAGAAAATGAAGGCATTACAAGCTTTGTATCGTTTACGCAGTTTACCAGCCAGACTGTAAACTTTAAACTCTTTTTTCTCACACTATTTCTAAATGACTGCTCTTTGCAAAAGGCAAGAAGCAAAACCAGCACACCAAGTAGTGCTTTAGGACTCAAAACTCCGTCTTCTGATTGGTCAAATGAGAACTGAGAGTTAGTCACTTGTTCAAGAATTGGTCAATACAGGGTGGCGGTGAACCCTGATCGGTTAGCAGTTATGAGACAAAGCCACAAAGAGGCTGGAGGAAGAGGCCCACGGTCCCCAAGACGCACACCGTCACAAACACCCAGAGGAAGATTCTATCGATCACCATGGCAACGTACTTCCAGTCATCCTCCACCTGTGAGCAAGGGAGGGGACAAAACAACAAGTGTGACAAGACAGAGGAAAGTGTCAGTAGTGACAAATGCAAGATGAAAAGTGAGGATAGGTTTTTTTTTTAGTAGTAGGTGAGGACAGGTGCACAGTGAGAGGAAACGGGTGATTCAGAATCTCAGAGGGTGGGAGGTTTGTGGGAGTCGATATGGGGTGAGGTGAGGATTACACAGCAAGGATGGAAGGAAGGAAAGAAACAAAGAAAGAGAGAAAAGAGTTGAACACTTCTTGTAAGCCAACAGAAAATTGATACATAATTTACACAGGAGGAAATTACTATGATAATCACATTCAAACCGCAGCGTCTAAAGAAGCGACAGGCGTTTTGACAAAGCTGATTGAGCCACGGGTTTTGCATATCAAAGGCTGCTTCTCCCCTTTGGGAGATTTCACCCACTATATTTATAACTGACAGAGAGAGGAGGGAGAGCTCTTGACTCAAATCTAAAATTATTTGGTTCTAACTTACACTGTTGTTAACTTAAGGAGCAGGTTAGGATCTGAGGCTATGCTGCCCTGAATAACAGCCCAGCCCGCCCAGGCCAACACATAACACATAAATACATTATGCATCGAACACACTTGCTGTGTGTCTGCTTTTTATCAGAGGCTGTAAGTTTATATAAAGTTTAGAAACACTGGAACATTATATTTCCTACTTCATTTGATCAGGAAGGCTTTGTCAACTGCTGTATTTCCTAAAATAGTAAAGCTCAAAATAGTCTAATTTGATTTACAGTAAGACTGTACAGTGGTATTGTTGTAAGTGTTAAATTTAACACACACAGTACAGTAACTCCACTGTCACTAGCCTTGTGGCCACCCTGCGGAAAATTGTCCTGTTGTGCAGTTGTGTGTTTTAAAAATAATTAAGATGAATTACAACATGGGTTGCGTTTTTGTAGTTTGGTCATTATTTTTTTTATTATTATAACATTTTACTCTGCGTGATATCTGACACTGCAACATTAAAGTTTAACAGGGCAAGAAACACGATCGCTAATTGACGGGTTGTAAACGAGACAATAGTTTAACCAGATTATCCAAACCACTTTAAAACTCAAAATGTTAATAATCCTTCATTTAACAGGAAAGCGGCTGGTGCGTCTGCTGTGAAAAAGGCCTGTTGTGCATCCTGGCTTTCTGGGACATTATAAATGATTTATTGTTTAATGTTTTATTAATTGTTTTTCCTGTTATGACCAGTCAACATGTCTGTCATGGCCAATTATGTGACTGCTTGTGTTGACGTCTTTTCAGTGATGTCGGTGTTGGTGAGTGCCTTATTAAAATGGAGTTATGG